ACTTTTCTGATTTGTGTGAGTGGTGTAAGCTAGAAAAAAAAAGAAAAAGAAGGAGATTATTTAATTTTCTTTTTGCGTGAGTAAAAAAAATAAAAAAATACTATTGAGTTAGTATTGTTGGGAGATTATTTTTCTTTTTTTCTTGGGCCGGGAGTACTACTTTTGGAGAGCTTGGAATTAATTTGGCCGAAACTAGTAAGGGAGAGGATTTGAATTATTTGCGTGAGGAGGTGTTGCAGGAGTGTTACCGAGAGGAATTCACGTATAAAAAAAAAAGTATGTTGACGAGTAATTCGGAGTTGAAGGATCGCATGGAAAAGATGAAGTTAGAATGGTGGATCGATGAGGTCAAAAATTCAAGAGTTAAAACGCATAGGCAAAAGAAGGTGGTTGAAGGATAGAGAATGCGATAAGTTGGACAAGTTGCATAAAGAGCGAACTAAGTACCGGGCGAGGTTACGCAAAGTCGTGTCACTTACGGAGGAATTCGTTGAAAAGGAGCCCGTATTTACGTTCGATCCATCGAGCTATGTTGAAGACAAGGTCACGGAGTGTGTGGTCGAGCCGGTCGGGCACAAGGAACCGCATTCGCATGACAATAAGATCATGGGCGAGGATTTTTTGGGCAATTACTTAGGCCAGCCTATTTCCGACGACGATACATTCTCGGACGTCGAAGTAGTCGAAGTAACCGAGAACGAGGAGGAGATTTTGATCGTGGTCGAAGAAGGCCATGATGACGAGACGCACATGGAGGACGATGCGAATGAAGAGATAGCGACGCCTCAAGTGATGGTCATTGGCGAGTCCTTAAGGACAAGGACTCATTCGAAGGGGGAAGGAATGATGCGGAAGTGGCTTTCGAGGCTCGAGTATGTCTAGAGCCGATGGCCGGGACGGTTCGAGAAGGCCGAGAAAAGGGCCAAAAGCACGCACGCATGGCCTAAGAGAAGGGTACGAGCCCGTATGCGAGGCGCACGAGCACGAAAGTCCCGAGTGAGTAAAGGACTCGGGCTTATCACACGAGGTCAAAATGCACATGGCTGAGACCTGGAAACCCTGCAGGTCGACGACGAGGACAGGGTGAGACCCGATATGAGACACGCGCACGAGAGGGTTCAAGAAGCTTCTTGAGGCGAGAAATACCGCGCGACCAAGCACGCGGGGGCGTACACGGACGTGATGCGCGAATACACGAGGCGAGCCCTGCGATCCGAGGGGCGAAGATTCTAGAAGATAGTTATT